ATACCACCAACCACAGTCAACCACACCACCACTGAGACGACGAAGACGGCGTTGTTTTTGTTTCGTCGTGTTTATGGTTTGTTGTTGATCCGTCTTATTCTTTTTGGTATGTGATGTTCTACGTTGCTCTGTGTTGCCATTTTTGGGTCTTTAATCGACCAAAAAAGTAGGACAAGAGTTTCTGTTGAACTGTCAAGTAAAACATAAATCCTTAAATTTTGGGGTTCTGTTTGTAGTACAGAGAATTCTTTCAGTTTTTTTATAAAGTAATATAAACACCAAAGAAAAACAATGATGAAAAACGAATTTATGTTAGGCAAGATTTCTTGCCGCAATTCCATGTCTGTTGGAGAGAGAGAGAGAGAGAAAAGGTGATTGGAAATGAAAAAATGCTTGCACTGTCACAATTTCTCTTGTGTTTTTTGACATAAAAGGCAGTGAAGAAAAATGCAAGAAGGAAGCAAGTACAATAGATAATGATAAAAATTACCACAATTAAGCTCGCCTGGTTTAAATCAAGACTTTTGTAGTAAACAAATTACCTCGTATCAAAAAAAAAAGAACGTTAAAAATACTGCAGAACATATTTTTTATGCAATTCACATTTTAAACCTTCATTTGTGTTTGAACATAAATTGTAGTATTGAACACAACTTTCAAATTTTCCCATATCTTCCAAAAATCCATAGTTCTATGCTAGCATTCTAGTGTATGAACCGAAATTTACGTTTTGACAAATAATGTCCTTATTTAATACACAAAAAGTATCCCCATTTAATGCACTGAAAGTCCCAACGACTCACTTTTTCTTTCACATGAAAGTTTTCGTCCCTGGCTCTCGAGTGAAAAAAAAATTACCCACGTAAATTTGGGTTAATTTGGCAACTCTGTTTATGCAGAACATCATAACGAAGCAAACGATTGTCAACGTCGATGACGTCAATGGCAATAATGACGTTGTTATGCTGTTGTTTTTGGCAGACATACCACAAACACACACACACACACATACATCCAAACATACAAAAATATTATTTTTCGCGCGCACATACACACAACCGCACACACACTCATTAAAATAGGGGAAAGGGAAGTTGACTGCGCTGCCAGCAGAGAGTTCATCCAATAACTAGCTAAAGCAAATACAAAACGCGCCGCATGATGGCATAGCATATAAGAAAAACATACTCCTCTGCCGACGTCGACGTTAGCCGCAAATGGATGGATGGTTTGGCTGGTTGGTATATGGATGGTAAAGGCAAACGTATTAGTGGCCAAGGGCTAGTAGTATAGCAGCAAGCAGCAGTAGTAGGCAGGCAAGCAATAAACATACGGTAAAGAAAACGTCGTTTGTTCGTTCGTTGGTTCGTTTACATTGCATTGTGTGAATAATATTATGTTGTGTGTATAGTGAGTGTAGTACTCTTGTTCTTCTTCTTCTTATTTGTTGTTCTGCTGCTTCTTCTTCTTCTGTTTCGTATTCCACTGCCTCTCCACATTGCCAACAACATGCAGCAGTGAGCAGCCATTGTGTTGTATTGTGTGTATTACAATAGATTGTGGATATACAACACACACTGTACTCTGGCTGGCTGGCTCTGTGCTCTGCTGTCTCTGTACTCAAAGAAAAAGAAGAAGCAGCAGCTGTGTAAAAGTAAAAAATCCCAAGCAAGGCAAGCACAAAAAACCAAAGAAGAAGTTCCTCTTTTGTGTCGTAAATTCAAAGCGCGCCCTATAATAATACAAAAAAAACCAACCGAAAAGAGGCAAAAAAAAGAAGAAAGCAGAAAAAAGTTTTCTTTCGTGTTATGGTTTGACGTGTGTGTGTGTTTTATCTTTTCCGAAAACAAAAAAAGTAGCAGCAGCAGGCAGCTACCGTGTATTGTATGATGATTTGTGTGTTGTTTAGTGCATAGAGAGGAGGAGTACAGTATAGAAATACGACGTAAACGAAGAAGAGAAGTGTGTATTATTATTATTATTACTACTGTTTGACATTGTCATCGGTTGTACGGTCGGGCTGCGCGAGGAGTGGAAAGGAGGAATACACCATACTTTGTATTTTAATACAAATGTGCTATGATGAGGAAAAATAGAAGGAACAACAAACAAATGTTGTAATGCAATGATGAGAACTTTTTTCCTCTTGGTTTTGCGGCGGGTGTGTGTCTGTGTGTATACGTTTGGTTGGGTGTCGTCGTCTGTGCAAATTTTTGGAATGTTGTGTCTGCCGTTCGTGTTTGTGTTTTTTTTTTTCTCGTCGGTATTCCTTACCTTTTGCTATTTTTCGTAATGTTTTTTTCCTTGCGTGTGAAACAAAGTCAAAACTTGAGAAACGAAAACAAGTAGATCACAGAGGATATGGAAATCATATTGGGATTGCCCTGCCTTTCCTACCATTTTTTTTTCAAAAAATCTTAAAGTGTCAAATTGTATGAGTGTGTGTGCCAAAGAGGAGGAATAAAAACCAAAAGTGCAACCAAACTTCCTCCCTCCCTCTCATCATCAGATGTCATTCAAGGATAATGTTATGGAATACCAGTTTTTATGTCATCATCACTTGGAATAAAAGTTTTATTTTTTTCTTAATGGAAAAAAAAAGAGATGAGGAGGACAAGACAGACACTAAAATACATATATTTTTTATATTTTCCTTTGGCCTGTTTTTTCTTCGCTTGGATGCATTGCTGCAACGAAAAGAACAAACAATTCGTTGACTTTTCTGTGTTAGCCATATAACCCTGGTTTTTCTTCTTCTCGCTGGTGGGTTAAGAGAGCAAAACAAAACGAACGAACTTTCACCGGCTATTCCGGGAATGAAAATTTTGTTTATTTGTATTTTCCCATTTTTTTTTATTTTGTGACGATTTCGAAATGTTTTCAATTTAGTTTCGTTAAAGTAAAATTAATTTGTTGTGGAAGATGAGAGGATTTTTCTTTCATATCATCTACCCGTAATTCCTGTCTTGTTGTTGTGGCGGTTTTGAGTCTTGACTTTTAAGTTGCCAATATAGCAACATACCATGTTCACACAGAGAAAGATTTCTTTAAGGATGGTCGGTGCTTTAGAAAGAGGCAAAAATATTCTCTTGCAACATTTTAGAAGATCTTGCATTTTCACTGGAATGCTTTGTAATTATGTGAAAAACTTTTCTATATTTCGAATGTAGTTTTCTCACCCAGAAGTTCCATCATATTGTGCCAAACTGTATCTACGTTACCATATAATGTTTACAGATGGTTAGGACAAGTTTTGTACATGACAATTCTTATTCTAAAATCTTTCGAAATTGCTTTTCTCTTTTACCGCGACTAAACCAAATATTGAATAAGTCAGCATTGTTTTTTATTTGACCATTTCAATGTTGTAGATGCTATACAACATAATTTTCCATACTTTTGGGCTGTGTTCAACAATAATTAAGTTCAATTTATTTATTTATTGTATTTTTTTTTTGGTTAAACGACTATTCTATCTCGTTGCTAAATTCATAGCAGCAACAAACCTAATTGATTTAATATTTTTTAAATTAAAGTGTCATTTAACTTTTCTAAATTTTCATTATATAGATAGTATGTTTACTGTTTGTAAGCAGCTATTCGGTTTGTCCCGCGAAATTCATGCGTAGGTTCTTTCATATAAAACCTTTCATCTCTGATAGCCAATGAGGCAATTTAAATATTTTGAGAATAATAACAACACTGTTCATTAAGTTACATTTATTCCATTTCCATTTATTCCTCTGTTTCATGTTTTTTCCCATTTACATTTTTTGTGCAATATATACACAACATATTTTTCTTCATATAAAACTCCCAATCCTTGTCCACACACCAGGTTACCTTTTTGGAAATGGCAACCCTACTTCTCATCATTGCAATTGAAAATAAATCCATTTATTTTCAATAAATTTAATCTTTCTATTATTCCTTTTCTACCATTTATTATCATCTGTCCGGACTGTTCATTTTGTACAGACGAACAACACAACATACACAGCTACCTAATTGTATATTTGCTTGTCTTTCTGCTTCTTCTTCTTCTTGTTAATAAAGGGAAGTTAGTCTAATGACGCATGTTAATTTTGACTCTCGCGTTTAAAATTTAATGAGGGCTCCTTTTTCTTCTTCCGGTTTTTGTGCTGTCAACAAAAGAAGATATCATTGAGTACATCTTTAATAATTGTGATATATTTTACAGAAAATCAATAAATAAATCATTACAAAAAATCAAACTAACAAATGTGTTGGTATAAACGAAGGGAATTGGTCTGGAATCGTGTAATAAACAGCAATAATATCAAAACAAGTATGCAAGAGAGATAACAAGAGAAATATATTGGGAGAGAGAGTGAGTGAGTAACTAAAATAATTGCGCGCGCGAATTATTGTAAACAACACATTGACAAACAACAAATGAAAAGAAAGCTAAAATAAAAAAAAAATTAAAGCCACGACGGAGTGCTGTAAACAAATCAAAAAGAATTAAACCACAACAACAACCAGAGTTTAACAACCTTTACCAATGCAAAGGGAAAAGAAATTTAGCATACATTTTTTACTTAAAAATATCAAAACGACAAAGTTGCTAACATTTCAGAATACTGCTTCGCAAACACAAGGAAGTACTACTCCTACGACGACTGATAAGTTTAGCAATAGCAAATTTAAATATTCTTTAAGTAAAAAGTAAATGAAAGTCACGGTTAAAAGTTAACTAACAAATAGTGAAAACTTATTATTTACCTTCCCACTCCCCCCCAAACAAAATCAAACCAAGATTCTTCTCCTTTGATCGAATCTTGGATACAATAACGTAAGTCTTCAGTAGAATACACCACAATTGGCTAAAACAACAAAACATGTCAGAACATAGCGCTTGGGGTCAACGCCAAGCGACTGCGGCCGAGGCTGCCTTATGGTGGCCCGGTGCTCTCGCTGCGGCAGCCACACAACACCAACAACAACAACAGCAACAACAACAACAAACAATTGATCAGCAAACTCTTCAACATTATCAGCAACAATTGGTTGCCCAGCAACAACAACAGGCCGCTGCCGCAGCCGCTGCTGTCCAGCAACAACAACAATTGCAACAACAGCAGCAGCAGCAACAGCAGCACCAACAACAAGTTGTCGTCCAACAGAATCAACAGCAAGCCCATCAAAATAATGCCAACACCACTTCTGGTGTTGGTACCCAACAGCTTTTCACATACAAAATGGCCAGTAGTTTTCCCAATCCAGCCACAACAATGGCCCAAGTTGTTGCCACCTCCAATGCAGCCGGTACACCCGCCTACGACTATCGTCTAAACATGGCCCAGGCAGCAGCTGCCGCCGCAGTACCCGGTTCACAGTGGTGGTATTCAGCTGCCAATCAGGGACAAATCGATGCCAATACAGCCGCCCAATTGCAACAGCAACAACAGCAGCAGCAACAACAACAACAGCAGGCGCAACAGCAGCAGCAACAGCAACAACAGCAGCAACAGCAAGCGCAACAGCAGGCGCAACAACAGGCGCAACAGCAGCAGGCCCAACAGCATCAACAGCAACAACAGCAATTGCAGCAAGCGCAACAGCAGGCGCAACAGCAACAACAGCAGCAACAGAATGCGGTAAGTACAAACACCAAACAAAACAATCTTCATATATCATCTTTTGATCCTTTATGTTTACTGTTGTTCTCCTGTCCATTGTGTTGTTTGAAGATCAATTTCTTTGCAATATCTATATACATACATACATATCACCTCACCATTTCCGCAGATGTCCTTTTTACACACTATACATATACTCTATTGTATATTTGAGCGCACACAAACCAAAGAATAACAAGATCTGCTGCTCGTCTTCCGCGCAAAAAAATGGAAACATCCAATAAATGTGTAATTTTAGTTTTTGGATCAGAACACGAAAGGAGCTTGTCGAAAGAAACCAGAGTTATTCACTATTAAATTCTAAAATCTCCAAAATGTTAAATTCGTGCCTCATCGCGAGAATAACTTTTCGAAACACCAATGCTGATCCTATTCCATATAATATCTTTGAGGTATACAAGGGGATTGTAATATATCCATATTACCTCGCCCCCGCTTGTGGGAAAATTTAATGTACCACCTGAATATGGCCTTTGTGGGTTTCTTTTTTGGAGAGACCAATAATGATGATGGATCTTATGAGCCAAGGTTCTAATTTGCTCAAGGGAAGAAAAAGAATGGCTAATTCAACTGAAAATGTCGACTTACACGAAACGCTAAAATGGAAATTGTCATTCAATTCCTATTTTTAATAATAATCTGAGATGAATAAGTGCTCGATTCTAGGCCATCTAACTCTTATGAAGACAGCCTCTCCACTAAGAGATCGGTTTGTGCACTTTATTCTAACTGGAAATTAGGTTGTTTCTTGAATTTCTTTGACGAGAATTCTTCTATTGATTCTGCTGTTAACCACACCATCTAAACAGAAATCTTTATTTTCGATTTTATATCCACCGCTTTTGGCCTGAATCTAACATAGCTTGAAGCGTGAGTTTTTTTTTAACAAACCTATGTTTTTTAAATTAAACTAGACAATAATCCCGGTGTACTCAAGATACTCCCCCTCAATAGGAGACCTAATTATGAATTTCCTTCAATTTGGAATTCTTATCGACCCTTCCCAAAAGCTTCCAGTCCGGTCCTATACATTGCCTTTCCGATCGGTTCAGTCTGTGATTCACGAAGGCATTTAAACAGATTTTTTTTTTCAATTTTAGATGTTTTTATCTTCCTTTTTTTGACCTGAACCTAAAATAACCTTGATTGCGGAAAGTAAGATTTCATTTCTTTTTTTATTTTTTTTTGAAATTTAATATTTTTTTGAATTGAATTCTACAATAATTCCAAGATTCTTTCATAGGAATAAAGGTTTCGATTCGAGGGCGTGTGGCCGTCATCAAGATGGCAACTCAAAAATGATTTTCTTCAATCTGAATAACTGATAGTCCGTGGAGTTTTAGGGTGGGGAGTTTTGTGGCAGTATCTTTCGCAAGATTTTGTGGACTTTAATCTATAAATGGAGAAATTGGATCGCTCGTTTCTGCATTTATAGGAAGCCAGCCCCTATATGACAACTTCGTCTTGATTTCTTTTCAAAGAATTTCAGGATTTCGGTTTTATAGGAAACAAAATGTTTCAATGTTTTTATTTTCCGCTTTACTCTTGAGATTTCGGCCACATGGTCCTAAGATATCTTGCAACTGGTTTCCAAATGACATCTTCCACCAGCTTTTTCGATGAGAGCCTTTTCGAAGCGGATGACATAATTTGACAGCCTTCATATACCGATATCTTCGGATACGCACATTTTTCCATGGATTATTTCAAATTTTCAATTAAAAGTTAGTAATTTGATACTACCTCCGTTGATGTAGAAGTTCACATATGATTTCGGTGGACATTCTAATCCATAAAATGCTAATAATGAATGACGAAGTAGCTTCACATCTTGTTATACTGGTTATTTACTTATATTTTTTTTCAAAAAAATAGTTTCCAGAGCTGCTCCAAGCAGAATATGCATCCTGAACAACATATATTTCCTATTAGCGGTCGGAAAATCGCTTTGCAATAACTCTTTGAAAGAATGTGTCGATTTTGCTGCTATGCCCTCTGCAGAATGTTTGGTTTTAATGTTGGATATATCGAATGTATTTCCATACCCTACACCTTGGAAGGTGTCATTCCGTTTGTAAGATCCCTAAATATTCGTCGAATACCCCATAAACTTAATCAGCATAAAATTCTAAGTCGTTTTAACAGTGTCCGTCTGTCTGTCTGTCTCTCCGGCTGTCTGTTAAAATCACGATACATCTCACATTATATGACGTAGAGCGTCAAAAATATAGCAGAACAATTTTTATTGTGTCTAGGATTGTTGGTATTAAAAATGAGATATATCTGTCCTCGTTTTGGTATAGTCCCCATATAACGTTACCTCCCGATGTTCGGTATTTTGATGATTTTTGCCACATTTTCTTCACGGATTTGTCTGAAAATTGGTATTTGTAGGTCATTATGGTTTCTAGTTCGTCTGGCGAAACATTGTATGTATAGGTCCACGTTGTGATATAGTTCCCATGTAACGGTGCCTCCCGATATTCGATATTTTGATGATTTTTGCCACATTTTTTTCACGGATTTGTCTAAAAATTGGTATTTGAAGGTCATTATGGTTTCTAGTTCGTCTGGCGAAACATTGTATGTATAGGTCCACGTTTTGGTATAGCCCCCATATGACTTTACCTTCCGATATTCGGTATTTTGTCACATTTTTTCACGGATTTATCTAAAAATTGGTATTTGTTGGTCATATGTTGAAGAAGCTAATCGATAGATTGATGTTAGTCTACTTTTTTACTCTGTCTTCAATAAAACGATACTGTGTTACTTCAGATTCAACCTCTAGCTCCGCTTTTTCTTTTGTGTTGTCGTTTGGATTTCTTATTTTGGGTTCTCGGGAAAAATTCTAGAGATAGATTATTGACAATGCTTTTAGGCATTTGATTGTTTTTTTTTTCGATACCGGAAAACATATTTGCTTTGGGCCACGTTTTGGCATAGCCAGCCAGCCAGCCCCCTTATAAAATCCCATTCCTCTTGTAGAACCCAGTACGACTTAATCCATACTCTGCTTGCCACCTATCTTATCTTGACATCCATCAACGATTTTTTTTTAAATGGCTAAAAATATCAGCATGAAATCATTTTTGAAATGCTAAAATTACCAACATTTAAAATATTTTTTTTTTTTTTGAAATACCTATAAATTTCAATTCTCACTATCTATGTGTGTTGAAATATTTTTGACTAATTATAGGTACTTGTTAGGCTAATCATGGCCTTATTTTAAATTCACGTGTTAGCAATAGACCCAATTTTATGATGATCGTTAGTTGTTAACATTTCTTTTTTTTTCTTCTTTATTTTGGCTGCAAATAAATTATAACAATTTACGCACGTACATATGTGCTGGTGGGTCTGTCGGACTGTCTACCATCTCTATACCTTAGCCGCAAAATGTTGTCATACGCGCACAGTTTATCTCTCTCCACATGTTTGGTTTGATACGTGCATACATATGTATATGTTTGCCCGTAATTATATGAACAGACCTGATAAGGTGGAACACACGGAGGAGCTATAGTCGTCGTCGGCGACACAGTCTTGTGAATTTTAAAAAAAAGAAAAAAATAATAAAATATCTATGGGACTGCAATAAGTGAAATACCGAATATAAAGGGTGCAAAATAGTAGAGCGAATTGGACATTTAGTAAGAAAAGTATTTTTTTTATACCCTACACCACATAGTGGTAAGGGTATTATGTCTTTGTGCATTTGTTTGTAACATGGAGAAGGAAACGAGATAGACCCATAGATACTTTTGAGAACCTTCATAGAATCACTTTCTGAGTCGATTTATGCATGTCAGTCCGTCTGTCCGTCCGTCCGTCCGTCCGTCTGTCCATGTATTCTTGTGAACAAAATGCAGGTCGCATTTATTATCCGATTGAGATGAAATTTTCCAAACAATATTTTTTTGGCCCAAGGACGAACCCTATTGAATTTGGTGAGAATCGCATCAAATTTAGATATAGCTCCCATATATATCTTCATCCGATTTCGGGTTAAATGTGCACCAAATGTCCACTATCAGTCCAAATTATCTGAATTTTGGCACACCCAACCGAGTTCGGCCTAGAAGCAAGTATATCAAATTTGGAGAAAATCGGTTCAGATATAGCTATAGCTCCCATATATATCGTTCATCCGATTTCATCTTGAAGTCCCTCACATTCCTACTATGCACTCCACAACCGTGATATTTGGTACCAGGTATTAGATGGAGCACAGAAATAGCTGTTTTAAATTTTATCGAAATCGGTTCAGATTTGGATATAGCTCCCATATATATCTTCATCCGATTTCGGGTTAATTGACCACCAAATGGCCAATATCAGCCCAAATGGCCCGAATTTTGGCATATGTGACCGAGATTGGCCTTAAAGCAAATACAACAAATTTGGAGAAAATCGGTTCAGAGACAGCTATAGCTCCCATATATATGTTTTATCCGATTTGGTGTTTAAGCCTCTCACATTCGTAATATGCACTCCACAAGAATGATATTTGGTACCAGATATAAGATACAGCCAAGAAATAGCTGTTTGTAATTTTATCGAAATCGGTTCAGATTTGGATATAGCTCCCATATATATCTTCATCCGATTTCGGGTTAATTGTGCACCAAATGGCCGATATAAGTCCAAATGGACTGAATTTTAGTACATCGGACCAAATTCAGCCTAGAAGCAAGTATATCAAATTTAGTGAAAATCGGTTCAGATTTAGATATAGCAACCATATATACATATGTTTCATCTGATTTAGTGTTTTAGACCTTTACATTCGTAATATTCACTCCACAACCGTGATATTTGGTACCAGGTATTAGATGGAGCACATGAATAGCTGTTTTAAATTTTATCGAAATCGGTTCAGATTTGGACATAGCTCCCATATATATCTTCATCCGATTTCGGGTTAAATGTGCACTAAATGGTCAATATCAGCC